CTGGAATCTAGGCTGAGAGCCCAATCTCTGACACCCTTTAGTTGTTGTTATACCAACAAAAAGTTTAGATACAATCTGGGCAATACCAATAGACTTGATGTCACTTGTAGCCCTTTCCCACTGAAGGAAAGTGACAGCAAAAACAGACAGAAATAGCTGGTAACCATGCCCAGTGATCTTTGTTGTTGTTTTTTTCTTCACATAAACTTTATTTTTTAAATAGAATTTATTGGGGTGACATTGGTAAATAAAATGATATAGGTAGCTATACAATTCTACAATATATTATCTGCATATCATATTTTGTGTTTATCATCCCAAGTCAAGTCTCCTTCCATCCCTATTTACCCTCTTTAAAAAATTTTAAATTATCTGTGTACATATACCATTGCCCTTCCCCCCCCGCCCCCATACATACCCTTCCTCCCCAGAGTTTTTTGTCCATTGGTTGTACTTATATGCATGTATACATGTCCTTCGGTTGATCTCTTATCTTCCTCAGATCTCCCTACCCTCCCCGCTGTAATTTGACAGTCTGCTTGTTGCTTTACTGTCTCTTTATCTCTTTTGGTTCATCAGTTTATAATGTTCTTTATTATCCATAAATGAGAGAGGTCATGTGGTATTTCTCTTTCATTGACTGGCTTATTTCACTCAGCATGATGATCTTTGTTCTTATTCATAGCCAGTACTCAGTATTTCCATATTATTACAGTTGGGGGCAGGGAGAGATGGCTAAGATTATTCATCTGCTGAATTGAATTGAGTACTAGTCAAACCACAGAGGGCCTTCTGATAAGTGACTTTAAACTCTGACATGCTACATAAAGGAGCTCATTGCCCAAAGAATAAGACTATTTCATGGTTTAGGTTGCACTTTCCAGGAAAGGTTTAGCAGTGTAAGGAGCTCAAGTAAATTTATCAATCCTTAATAGCCATCAAGGGTGCTAAATTACAATGAGAAACAACATGTGCCAAAGTAGAAGTGTGTTGATGCTGAATTTGACTCCATGGAGAGCCTCATTAGGTTTTGTATTGGGCTAGGACAGTAAGGCTGCTGACAAAGTTTAGGCTTCATGTCCCTTTCTATCATCATGTATAGCCTCCTAACGCCTGCTATTAAAAGTATCTTAAATGAGTTAAACGTTTGTATGAAAGTTGAATATTTAAAAAGGCAACCTTGCCCTGGCTGGTGTGGCTGTTGGCTGGAGCGTCGTCTTGTACACGGAAAGGTCTCAAGTTCAATTCCCGGTCAGGGCATATCCCCAGGTTGTGATTTCAGTCCCTGGTTGCGGGTATTTGAGAGGCAACTGATCTATGTTTTTCTCTCACATTAATGTTTCTCACCCTCTTTCTCTCTCTCAAAATAATAAACATATCTTTGGGTGAGGATTTAAAAAAAAAGCAACCTTAATTACATTGACTATTCCTAGTGTAACATGGATTTTAAAGTTCTTTAAAAACCACATATAGGCAGGAAGTAGATGTGGCTGAACCCAGAACAGTTATAAAGAACCAACGAAGGGAAGCCTGTCTACATACATGCAGCTAAAGCTTGACTATTTACTTTCTACTTGATCTCTGCGGTAATAAAAGGCACCAGCTAATAATGAACAATGCCAATTCTCGTTTAGAAGGAAACAGAACTAAGGTGTAAGACACAAGTGGAAGGGGCTCCTGCCAAACCAGAACATCTCAGTGCATCTTCACAGGTTTTTAAATGTGACCAACTAAACTTTGTCCTGGCCCATGCAGGTTTTTACCACCATCAGTTGTATCACATCTTAGATTCCACTTCAGGTTGTACTGACTTACTAGCTTCTCAACTTCTTTGAACATATAATACTTACACCTGTAGTTAACAAGTACTATTACTAGAAACTAATTCTTCAGTCACTTCAAACTCTGTATTGGTTCCCAACAGCTGGGCAGTATTGACCCTTTAACAGCCAAAGAAAAACACTCAAAATCATTTGTCTGTTTCATAATTATTTTATTTTTAAAATATATTTTATCGACTTAAAAGAGGGAGGAGAATCATTGATTGGATGCCTCTTGCATGCCCCCTATTGGGGAATCAAGCCCATAACCAAGGCACATGCCCTGATCAGGAATCAAACCATGATCTCCAGGTTCTTAGGATGGTGCTCAACTACTGGACCACATAGGCTGGGCTAATTAACTATTATTTTTTATGCAATGTCCTCACTCTTCAAGCAACTGATCTCATCAAAAGGCTTATCATTTTATTTCCTAGAGACACATTCCATTGGGCTACTGCATTCAGAGGTGATGTAACTCACCAGCAGGAAATGGCTTTGCTTGGCTTACACATGAGCCACTTGCAAACTGACTTGGGTTGCAGCACCTCTTCATTTTCTACTTAAGAAATTATGCTGTGATGCGTTGTAAAGTTTCTAATTCTGTTGCTTTCCCATGAATTGGGAATAAAACGAGCTTTAGGCTGGTCATGATGTTGTATTTCTTGGGACAGTTATAGTTGCATGATATAAACAGTATTTTACCATATCATTTAATAAGATAATGCATACTTCAAGGTGCCTTAAAAGCACACCGTTCAAAGTGCACTTTTCATATTTTGACACAATGGGTGTAACAGAAGAATAAAAAATATTGTGGTACACTCCAAATGATTTTATAGCGTACCAAGCAGAAATGCAAAGTGAGAAGAATGCTATGGGCTGTTTCTATACTAAGCTTCCCCACTGCAGTGCATAAAGGAGTGTGGCTACATCCCAACCAAATTTATGGGCACTAAAATTTAGTTTTCATATTTTTCATATCAGAAAATAGTTTCTCCCCAACCATTTAAAAATTGTAAAAACCATTCTCATCTCACTGGCCTACAAAAACAGGCAGCAGGCTGGTTTGGGCCTGCAGGCCATAGTTTGCTAACCCTTCATCTAGATTTCGAAGAGCATGGTAAGCCCCAAAGGGCTCAGGAACACTGAAAATGTTATCAGCTAAGTATCTTTTGTGCAAAAGCTACATTTAGTAAAAGTCATAATGTAGTCCTTAAAGATTACAAAATACTACTTTTTAGAGATAGAAACCAATACTGATACAAACTATGAAGTTCAGCAACTATGAGGTTATTCAAAAGGCAATCTTAATTCCTTTTCTTTGTTTTGAGGGGGTGAAGATAAAAAGAAACCAACTAGATACCAGCTATATTGGATCAGCTTTAAAAAGAAGCCACAGTAAGTTATGCCAAGTACATTTACTTTATAAATCTTTCAGAATAAATGCATCTTTAGAGAGATAGGAATTAATTCTTAAAATCTAATTGAAGCATTAACAAAGAATTAGCCATCACTGTTGAAATGCAGAAGGCCCAGATTGATTTTTAAATAACTGGCTATAGTTAATGAAGTTACTGAGTTCTGTTCAGTTGCCCAAATTTAAAAACAAACAAACAAAAAAAAACAACACACACACACACACACAAAAACCAAAAAACAATTCCCCAAATATTTTCAAAACAAAAAGACCAGTCATCAACATATATAAGAAAACATTTCTGAAGCCTTTATTTACAAAAGCTTTAAAAACAAATAATACCCTCTGTCTTGCAAATAATGTTTTGTTTAAAAAGGACCACCCAGTGACAGCACTGTAGTATCATGAATAAATGTACAAGGAAAACAAACCAATGTGGCTAACATTTGGAGATTTGCTATTACTGATTGAAGTGTAGATAACACACATTACTTGTAGTCCATCATTCTGAGTTAATGATTACCAAAATGTCTTCCTACACATGCTCCTGTCTAGTCACATATTCTGCATGGCTAAATATTTCACAGTCTTTTTTGTCAATATATATAAAATAGATTGCAAAGATATACACACAAAAAATAAACAAACATTACACTCCTCAGGTAATTTTATTAGCTATGTGTATATACACACATACACACATAGCTAACATATATGTATTTTTGTGTTTTGTCGTGCACCAAATCTCTCCATTCTTTTCTTTTAACAACTATGAAAGCATAATTTTTTTTTTTTGTCTAATTTAATCTGGTACAAAATATACCTAAAGATTTATCATCTTTGGACTTGAATTTGATTTTTGGGATCAACAAATCAAGAGCTCGAAAGTATGGCTATAAAATTAAAAAAATTAAAATAAGGTGAACAGTGATGGAATAAAAAGCAGATCAAGGGAATTGTGCCATCATAAAACAATTGCAGCGTCAATATCTTGGAGACCAGTTTCCTGGCAGACAATAAAATGTCCAATCACAAACAAGGGGTTTTTCCTGGAGGGTGTAAAGCGGTTTGAAAGGTTCTTCAGAGTGGCCTACACACACGCCAATCAGAAACGGACAGACACTAGATGTGCCGGAAGATTAAACGCTAGTACTGAAACAGCAGTTATTAAGCTCCTCAGTAGTTTTTATCTTTTCTTTTGTAGTCTTGCTGAATCAACCATTTGCATAGTACATGTGCAATATTCCACGAGTGAAAAGTAAATACTTTATAAAGTTGGCAGATGGTCATTTTTTCCAGCTAAGAGTAAGAAAAACCGTATTTTCTGATAAAACAGAGGATCTGAGTCAGAATCACTCTCTAAAGTGCAAAATTGATGGTCCACAATCTCAAATAGCTAAAACTCCTGCAGAATGGAAGGGAGACATGAGACACGAAATAAATTACAGTCAGTGCTAGTTAATTTAGGAAAGGGGAAACAAACCAAGCTCAGATCGGTCAAGTTTATATGATGCAGCTTTTCCACTCTCTGTCACACACGCCTGCTAGCAAGTATATTAAGGCCAAATTTAACCTGAATGCTTTTCTATTCAAGCTCTGAGACAGGAATGGTCATATTAAGTACTAAAAGACAAAATGGGCGATGAAAGAAAAGAAAAAAAAAAGTAGTCTACTTTTTCAAGGGATTCAACCAGAGATAAAACCTATAAACAAGCATGTGTGTAGTTCAAATAAAATAAAAATAAAAGGACTATTTCATGTCATGACTGCTTGTTGGCTTCCTCTTCATATGCATTCCCTGTGCCATTCTGTACATAGGATGAACCAGAACCAAGGCCATACAAATGACCACAATATTTGGCATCATCAATGTGATCTTCAAAGAACATCTAAAAGGGAATTTTGGAGAGAGAAAAAAAAAAGATAACTTTAACCAAAAGGAGCACTGGTAATGTACAGTTCACAAAGTCAGCAGCTGTTCCCTAACTACAATGCAGCACTTTCCTATGTGCTCCTTCGAGGGCACACACACAAACCAATGGATAAAACTGAGGTCCTCAAGTTCAGAGCTCAAAAGAAACAGAAGAAAAAGACCACAAAAATAAACGTATAAATGTATGTCTTTCCTTTCAACATTTAGGCCATTTTTATAAGAATCTGCAATCATGGAAAAATGGCAGACCTTTTTTTTTTACCCCATTAACTGAAGTGCGCTCAACAATAAGAAAGAATGAAAACAGCCAATGGTGGGGTGGAGGGAGCTTAGATAAGTAGCCTTGAGCCTACGTCAAGGCCAAGTTGACCAAAAACGAAGCTTAAACATGTCCTGGACAGTAAAATCTTAACATTCACATTCGGTTACTATACTTGGAGAAGCCAAGAAAAATAAAGGTGACAAATTAGTAGTAGAGAACCCACCATTAATTCAACCGTTAAACTACTTTTAAAATGCAAAGATGAAAAATCCTAACGGTTGCTTTAATTCTCTAGTGCATCACTGGAATGACATACAAAACGAAGCATTTACTTCAGATATTATGTTTCCTATTGTTAATATATTTCTTTTTTTTCTATTGTTAATATATTTCTTTAAAAATTTTTGAATTCCCGAAAGACCACTTAGTCAATTCTTTAATGTCTTAGAGGATATACTAAAAAAGAATTTTATAGTAAATTTTTTGCAAAAAGCGTTTTTTATAAGCAAAAAAGTCCATTTTATTTTGTTTTTTTGCACAAATAAACTTTTTTCTTTACCTTTTACCTACAGTGAGGCATACCTATACATATCACTTAACCCAAGGATAGACTCAGGTTAATTCCATTTCATTCTTTCACACTCAACTTATGTTCTTTATCGCTGCCTTTTACTATTTAAGGAGGTTCTGCTAAATATGATTTTTGATTCAACTCCTACTTCAGATTTTATTTAACCCTCTGGAATTCAAACACCTCTGGTAAGAATCAATCTTCTAAAAAGCACAAGTCCTACTCTATTAATCCTCAAAGTAATGAATGGAATAAGCAAGTAATATTTTTACCAGCAATTTTAATGCCTAAGATTAAGATAATGCCAGAGGAAAGATATGAGAGTCCCCAGACTTGGCAGAAGCAACACGGTGTGGTCTACAGCAAAAACTCTAGAGTTCTCAACTAGTAATCTACACGACCTTGGATAAAAGGTACTAGCCTCTGGCCTCAGATTTCTCATCTAAAAAAATAATATAGTTGGACCTACATACTTTCTAAGGTAAATTTTTTAGTCTCCAAATAAATTATTTTTTCATTTCCTCCTGTGAACTACATTTCAAGGTGACTTATTTCAAAATTCTTTCATTCAAGTGTGGTAGAAATGACTATTTATATGGTACCTCTAATTTTATTTTTATTTAATAAGTACTTATTGCCCCAAAACGTTGCCATGTGATTTTTAATGTTCTCAACCTAGCAACCAACTGAGAAAAAGGCACTTATGTCTTCATACTTCTCTCATCTTGAAAAAGGCCATTCCTGTGAGCAATGAATCAGACCCTGCCTGATGCTGTGGTCCTATCCGTTCCAGCTCTAACTGTTCCGCAACTTCCTGTAAGCCACCCTAGGAGAAGAAGAAAATGCCTGTCAAGAGAAACATCGCAATGCCTGAATTCACAAATTATGTAACTTAGACAATGGCCAAAATATAAAAAACTTCAGAATGTAGAGATGACCTTATAAAGACTGGAAAAGACCAGAGCATGTGAAATACTGAATATCTGTTGAATGTGGGCAAAGTTTATAATTTAATAGAAAATTAGATCTTAATTGGGAAAATTTATCTCTATCACATGCTTTAAGGCATGTAACAGATAAATAGCTTTCCTAAAGATATGGGGGAAGCAGATCATATACAAGGTTAACAGGTATCAAGGGTAACATTATCCAGTGTATGCACAGTCAGTCCACCCATTGATCAGTTATTATAAACCTGACAGTGGGTAGCTACTTTCTAATTTTCTTAAGCTTTTCAGTAATCTATTTCTAAACTATTTCATCTAAATAATTTGTACAAAACAAAGTTATTATAACTAATAAAATCTTAAATGCTTAACTATGGTTTTGCTGATTAAAAAGTAAGTTATGTTCTTATAATACAACTTTCAGAAGGGTTTGTTAAAAACCTGCCTATGTTAATGCTAGGATTAGAAAAGAAAGATGAGGAGAGTGAAAGAAAGTCAGAGAAAGAGAATGAATAAAAGAGGAAGTGAAGAAGGGATGGTAGCAAGGGAGGACAGAATAATAATGGAGGACACTTGGAGGAGAGAAAGTAAAGAAAGCATGATCAGGAAAAACAAGACAAACACAAAGAAATTCCTCTCTAAATGGTTAAGGCTCCTGCTAGCAAACCAGTCTTCTGTTTATCACAGCCTGAAACAGAGCTTTGGACAGCAGTTGCTTCTGAGCTAAAATTAGCACGAGGATTAGGTAACATTAGCAGCTGCTTAGAGAGGAGCAGAGTAGGTCATTCAGGGAGTGGACTATATAGAGGTCAAAAAGCACTGTGGTCATAACCTGAATTTTAACATACCAGGCCACTCAGGTTATTTTCAGAATATCTGCTATACTTAGAAAGTTTCAAATAATGTATACATAATGAGCAATAAGTTGGTTCTGTTTCCAGAAACTGTCACTGTACAAATATCAATTTTAAAGAGCATTTCCAAGGCCACATTAAAACATGATGGCCGTGGATTCTCAGCATGTAATACTTTTAGGTATGGACTGAGTTTCTAAAGTACAAGGATATACTACTGCAAGTTCACTTAAATTGCAGTTGGAAGTCTCTTCAAATTGCACAGAAATCTGCTGCTCTTAGGTGTTACAAACGTGATATAACCTTCCTTAAAAACGTCCCTGGTTATATGGCAAATCCTATGATGAGGCAAGCTGACTCTGGCCAAAAGACTGTTTCTCTTATGATTTTGGTTCATCTGTCAAAGCAAATTTTCCTATTTAATTCCTAAAATATTTCTTTCTGCATGAAAGTAATGCTCTTATAGTTCTTCTCTATCTTCTAAAAGTATAACATAATTGCACTTCTAAAAAGTTGGTGAGGAGAAAATTTGATCAAACCTGATATAGGCTCTCTGAAGGAACCGCTTTACCTACATGTTTGTGGTTTTGTTTATTTATTGATAGCTTATTCACTGTAACAGAAAATACTGTGTTCCTTAGGGAGGCTGCGCATTCACAGATGCATTCTCAAACTAAAGGAACGCTCTTCCTTAAAGCAGTGCTCCTTCTCAAAAAATTAATGTTCAAAAGTAACAACTACACGTTAAGCAGTGTCAGGATATAAGGTACTGCCCGGACAGGACATTAAAATACTACAGCACTGACTACTAACAAGTCGCCAATCTTTGGGGCAGGAAAAGCAAACAAAACCCTTTCAGCTTTGTAACTTAATCCCTGGAACATGATCCAATGACCATACCCAACAGAATAATCTCTAGCCAAACCCAACTGAAGGAGAAACTTCTGGACCCCACTGCCTACATCTGCACGCTGCTGGCCCCTTGCACTCTATCGCGCGTGGGTCCATTATGTGCATGTTTGGAGAGTGAGAACTGTACTTTTGTGCGAGAGGGCCTCACAGTTTCTGCGCTGGTTTATTTTCAATGTGGCAAGCAATGACAAGCATCTGAACCTTGGTTTTAATTTTACAGAAAACTTATTCTGCCAATATATATTAAAGCTTTGAAAAAGGATTTCCTAGAGCACTTATGCAAGAAAAAAAAGAACCAAATGACCAGATAATACAACCGCACTTAATATAAAACTATGAAACATGGTCTGAATCAACATCCCAGTTGGGACTCTATCATGTCAGTCACTGGTGGGAATTAGGTGCTGATTACAGGTAAAGCCACTGGAAGCCTTACTTTGAGATTTTTGCAGCTCTTCATGAGGTACTTCACATCATAAATAACAGGAAAAAACAACCGAAGGATCTCGAAGAAGTCAAGTTCTTCTTCAGGCAAGTTAGAATTGGTCAGGATTTTGATTAAGTAGCCAAAGTCATAACCACTACAAAAGGGTTAAAAGAATACAGAAGAAGGACCTTAATACCATGGAGATGAAAAACCTTTCTTGATAATAAACTTTAAGTGAGTCACACTCTAGACAAAAAAAGAATCGACAAAAAAAGAGTGCACAAAACCAGAAAATAACACGTTCACAATTTTAATGGGAAAATGTTGTCATCTTACAGACCTTGGTACTTCATCCTCCAGATACCAATATGCAGATCTCTACTACCATCCCAAGCTTGTAGTCACTAAACTGCTATTTTGCTGATCCTTGAATAGAGAACTCTTCAAGGAGAATGTCAAACTGCCCACAGTGTATGTCTAAAAAATTTAAATGACTATGGAAATGAAGAAATAAAGATGAATGGAAAGTTGGCCAAACAGGCAGCAAGAGTACTGGCATTCACAAGGCAAAAATAATGAAAATCTCCCTATCTTTTTTATAAAGAGTCACGTACTTCAAAAATCCAAGAGGTAATTCCCTACCAAAGTATATTCACTTCTTTTAACTGACTTTATGAAGTGCTCTCTTCCCTCAAAATTATTTGTTACCATCTCCTGATGGCTCCCCAAGAGATACTCGTGGGAATGCTGCACATGGAAGTGAAGCAGTGAAGGCTGAGACCAGCTACGGAACAAAATACAAACCCATCCTCTCCAATCAACATCTCCTGTGCCTACTGTTTGGCTTTTCCCAGTTTACAACTCCCTATGCTCCCAGCCACCACATCCTCTTCCCTGTGTACCTTTCCTTCCAGGACCTCTCAGATGCCTTCCCTGGAGCCCAGCTCCCACAGATGTTACACAGCTGTTTTCCTGTACTCTCCTTCAAAATGCATGTACTGTTTCTCCGTTAGTTTAAAGGGCAGGAATCGCATTTAAAAGCCATCTTTTCAGTACGAAATTCGACAACTGATGAGATGTTATTTACATATCATTTGGAGAGGGTACAAAACAAAATTTATATTTACTATTTAGAATTTTACTTCTAATCTAAAAAAGGCAAAGACGGGAATCTTCCCCCTCCTCTCATGGGAGTCTGTGCTTGCTTGTCAATAAATTTCCACCTTTGCTGTATGTATGTATGTATGTATGTATGTATGTGTGTGTGTGTGTGTGTGTATATATATATATATGGCAAAGAAAGCTTTACCATTGAAAACCACATAGAAATATCAAGGTATAATTAATAAACAGCAGAAACCTTTAAATTTCTGATAGTTGGCAAAGAGGTACTCTAGTGTCTACCTAAACTATAAATCAGCACAGCCTTTGCTTACTACCGTGTTTCCCCGAAAATAAAACATCCTCCGAAAATAAGACCTACTTACAAGTTTCCTTCTGAGTGAAATAAAAGGCATCCCCCTGAAAATAAGGCCCCCCCAGGCTGTTTCAGAATGCTATTGCTAAACATGAGAGATTTGGTCCACTAATTCTGAAAGAAATGGAGTCACAAGAAATTCACCAGGAAATTCAGGAATTGGATGGTTATGATGTTCCAGAAGATGATGACATGATTGTCATTGAATAAGTAAGTAAATTCTTGATACTGTAGGATTCAGGTTTGTGTTGACAACTACCGTACTACAGTACCGTATATAGGTAATAAATTTCCTTTATTTTCATTTAACAATAAATGTGTACCATATTCTTCTTCATGGAAAAATAAGACATCCCCTGAAAATAAGACCTAGCGCATCTTTGGGAGTAAAAATTAATATATTACACTGTCTTATTTTGGGGGAAACAGGGTACTAGTAAAGGTAAGATTAGAGTTTAGGATTTATAAATTAATCTTTATCTTCTAGAAATAAATAATATAAAAAAATTAATAACATTTTGTAGAATAAAAATCTTAACATACCTTGACAAGTATTCAAATATATGAGTCTAACCTAGACTAACCTCTAAAACGACATGAATCTTTTTTGTTCATCTTAATACCCCAGTGTCAAGTCAAAGTATTTGCTCAGAGTATCTTTTGAACGAAAGACCAGGATATATGTAGTAAAAGCACAGAAAAATTCTTTCCCATTCTTTTGTTTCCTTCTGACCAGAAAATTTTGTAAAAAAAGAATTCAAAAACATTTCTCAAGTTAACAGAGACTGAAGTCTTATTTCCTGAGGTAACAAGTGGAGGAGAGTAGAAAGGAAAGATAACAGGCAAGAATTGGTATGTTCAGTATCTCCAACTCAAAAATTACTGCTTAGTGCCATGCCAAAGTTTAAACATGAACAGTCTTTTACTGTAAGCATTCCCCAGGCCGGAGCTGGAAATGGTAAAGCATGTAAATAGTCTTATTTTTTTTTTTAAATGTATGAAGTGATTGAGTATAAGAACATTAACCCCTGCATAATACAATACTTTTTAAAAATAATTCTGCAAGATAGTTCCTCTAAATGATGCCATCTGACCACTTTATTTAAATAAAATTAAATTCTACCACACCAACCCCTAGCATTTTGCTTTTTTGCCTGCAAAGCACTTGTTACCATCTAAAAAAAACATATAAATTCATATAAATTCCATTATTTAGAAAAACGGTGTGCCTATTCCCACCAAAATGTAAACTCTATGAGAACAAGGAGTTTAGTCTGTTTTGTTTATTTCTTAACTCCTAGAATTTTAGCACAGTACAAGACTTATGGTAGATGATAAGCATTTCTAATGAATGAATTTTTGCACTCAGGCTAGGTAATGTTAAATAATGTTCGGTAACAGATTCCAAATGGCATTGTTGGACTTAAACTAAGGTCCATTTTTCTAGCCTGTACCCTTTTCCCTATGGAGTGCTAACTCTCATGGGTGCAATGTATCCCATGTTGCAAAATCTTTATGGAGACCAACATTAGTCTCTTCAGAGTTAGGAGACTGCAATGTGACCTGTGAAACATGGACCAAGCCAAATATGAAGCAGCTAGGAAACGGTAACACATATGCCATTTTCTTATTCTGTTTATCTCTTCTCCTTTATTGTTTTTGTTGTGTCTGTTTTTTTTTAATTTAAGCACTTCACTCAAAACTGTTGCAGTGTGAGTGTTGTGGCAAAAACACGCATGTCATTTGCAATGCAATCTCTTTACCTATGAAATGATAACCATTTGACCCCTTCACAGAGGACCACTCCCGATGTCATAAGAAGTTCTGCAAAGTACTGGGTCTCAATTCCTTCCTCCTCGTGCTTTTTAAACTGGATACCGGATGTTGTCAGCAGCTCTATGGAGTCCTGGGCATACATGTCCTCCCTGGCAGGGGAAGAAGAAACACAACATTCAAAAGTGCCACCTTTCAAACAAACCCCTTTTCTCAGCTCAGACCTACACCTGCAGTGCCACAAACAAGAAAGAGGGCTGGCTTGGGTTCACTTGCCCCAACATTTCACATATGTGGAAAGAAATTACAGTTTAAACATTAACAGTCATGAATTGAGAATACTGTGTACACATTAAATCATCATTCAAAACAGTCCAATGGTAAGATTTTAATCTTTATTATGATCTAGCCTTTCGAAAGTTAAATAAATTTGGGTTTGAAAAAGGCGTCTTCTATTCACTGGGGACTAGCACCACAAACTAACAGACATGTTCTTTCACTCAGCAACCGCTCTAACACTGCCAGATGCCGCTGTGGCCACAGGGTGAGGCCCTGCGCCCATCTACCTGCTCTCGGCAGCACCAGAGAGGGGAACACATGAACACGTCTGACGTGGCTGCGTTAAACGACATTCGTATTTAAAACAAAGGAGAGGCCTCCTCTCACAAATAATCAGCCTTGCAAACGGCCCCAATGAGCAGTAAACTGATTAAGATGAAGGACTTGGGTATAACAGCAATCATTCTTTCTTCTAACAATCTTAATCCTTTCAAAAATCAAGCCAGGAAATCTTAATATAAACCAATCATTCAAGACTACTTAAGCCAAAAAAAAAAAAAAAAAAAAAAAAGCCATTTCTTTGTAAGTACACACAGGTATTAAAATATTAAATTAAGTAAGTGAAAAAGGTATGTTTCTGAAAGAAAAGTATTTTGTGCATTGCCCCATTAGACTTTTCTGTTTTAATTTTAAATTGTAAAAATATCACTTTCCATCATTTAGCAAAGACAATCTTATTAAACAATTTAACAAAACTAACTGTACCAAAAGAAAAAATCACACTTGAGCCGAAATGTATTCTTATGATCTAGTCTCTGGAAATCAATCTACTTCCAAATGTCTCTAAAACATAGAACTAGCCACTGAAATATTTAAAAATGGGAAAACCACAACAATCACCGTCAAATTTTCCCCTGGAAAACTCCTCAGAAAGGATATCTGAATAAACCCAATAAGAGTTTTTCCATTCAACAGTAACACTTGGCCTTCTTATACTAAAAGTATGGATCTTAGACAACTAGAACCTCACTCATCAGGTCGTGCTGCTCACAAGGGGAGGCATGTTTTAGCAATTATAACCAACCAAGGCGTAACAGATTCTTTCTCCAGACTCACATTGTTCTGGGCCATATGCTTGCTTTTAGTTAACTGTCTGTCTCTCTCAAGCAGAATGCAAGCTTTAGGAGGACAATCATTATCTATTTTGTTCAATGTTATACCATCAGATAGAACAACAACAAACAAACAAGAAGTGGAATAGTGAGTGCTGCCCAAACTTGCCAAATGATGACCATCACCCAGAGAGCTTACCAAAAATATGCATTTCCAGTTCCCATCCATACCCAGGCCCAGTGGGTCCCAATCCTCAGGAGAGACCTGCATGACTACTTCTGACAACTTATGATCAAGTTAGTAAACAAAAACATGTATGTAAACTATTTCTCTTTCTTTTGTTCCTGTATAGTTCACATAGCTCAATCCAGATAAGTTAATGTACTGCCATCTGAATTTCATCAGACTGAATATTTTATCATTTGGAACCAATTCCATGCTTTATAATAACCATGTTATTAGAAAGAGAAAGAGAAAGAGAAAGCTGACCAAATCTTCAAATAGGACAGAAAGATGTTTCTAACTCTCTATCCCTCTCTCTTTCTCTCGGTGAAAAATCAATAAAATATATGTTAAAAAAAAGAAAAGAAAATACTTCGTGTGAGTAAGGGAAACTCTGTAATTGTTATGACTCAATTCTCTAAATTAATAGAAGGTCCCTTTTCCCTGGTGTCCATTTCAAGTTCTGAAAACCATTCCACCTTGCTGACGGATGTAGGGAAATATTAAAATGTTAATTCAATCTCAATAAATTACTGAGGGACCCTGCCCAAGTGTACAATTTTCGTGCACTAGGCCTCTAGTGTCCTAATAATTACCAGTTTAGGAAAAAAGTAACATAAAACAAATGAAATGGTAATTTTAAAAAACAGTCTTTTGGGAAAAGGCTAAAAAGCCATTTTCTGTGTTTCAGAACTACAATATTTATGAAAGGTTATCAATTTGAATAGACTTTTTTTTTTTTTTTTTTATCTTTTACAAGGTTCTGAAGAGTACATTTTAAAATCCAAAAACAGGGCATCATGCTAAACACAATGAAAGTATAAGCCATGTTATTGAAACACTAACACTATCCTTTAAAATAGTCAATGCTGCTTTTCCTTAAATCTCCTATACTAAATTATTCTACAGAGAATGGGAGGTTCATACACTGGCACTACCACCTTCTTTTACTATTTTTCAAATCAGATGTTACATTACATTACACAAGTACAGGCTGTCAAACAGGACACTGCGATCCTGTATTGTAACATACTTTGAATGTATTAAAACATTTCTCCAACATAGTCAGTTTATTAACAATCTGCCTTTGGCCCAAACAATCTACATTTCTCTAAGCTATCAAGATTACTCCTATAAGCTATCAAGATAGACAAGAGCTGAAACTAGTTTGGCTCAGTGGATAGAGTGTCAGTCTGCGGACTGAAAGACCCCAGGTTCGATTCTGGTCAAGGGCATGTACATTGGTTGCGGGCACATCCCCGGTAGGGGGTGTGCAGGAGGCAGCTGGTCGATGTTTCTCTCTCATCGACTACGTTTCTAGCTCTCCCTCCCTTCTTCTCTGTAAAAAATCAATAAAAATATATTAAAAAAAAAAAAAAAGATAGATAAGAATTACAAGTAAGGAAACTGGGTTTCCACCCTGGGCTTGAGTTAGAATTCAGACTCCGGAAGACAATCTGCCAGATTCTGAAGTGTTTCCGAAAGAAGCCACCAGGTTAAAGGACACTATTACTTCTCCCGTATCGATCTATAATAATAAAAGCGTAATATGCTAATGAAATCAGACCAAGCCAGGGCTGGGAGGGAAGCCCGGGTCCCGGGTGCCAGAGGGAAGCCGGTGCCAGCAAACTCCATGCACCAGGCCTCTAGTGTCAGTGTAAGAGATTTAGTGGCCTGACCTGTGAATATAATTATTTATGTAATATCAATTTGACAGGAAAATGCACACAAGTTTCCAAGAAATATCTTACCAGCTTTGACATATAATCTACTTATAAACTCAAGTATGACTGTAATAAAAACCTCTTAAGAAGCAAACCTATTACAACAAAGGTGTATGTATTTCAAACTGTTCGCAAGTTTGAAAGTGAAACTATTTATTTTTTTGTCATGAATTATTTCCAACACTCAAAATTTTCCAAATTTCAAAAGAAAGTGGCAGTAATACTTTTCATATAACATTTCTAAAATGCAAAGTACATGAACTGAAGACTCTTCTTTATTCATTTGGACCTATAATATGTAATAGCAATCTAACCTATGAAATTTTAGGTGTCAAGTATTTCCAGGATAACTATGCCATATTCAGTTAGAATTTCATTCACTATACTTGAGGGAAAATCAACCTCAAAATTTAAACTAAAAATATACACATACACACACACACACACACACGGTTATATTTATTTCCCACTTACGTCAAATTAAATTTAAAATTAAACTGCCACGTTGAAGTTCCTGGAGGGTATTCTCCTTGCTCATTCATGAATGTCAGTCCTAGCTGGATTATCTTTAACAAGTCCACGTTACACCGTAGTAGTTGGTACTGATAGTCAGCGTTGCTCCTGAATTCCCCAATAGGTCTTGCAACCACGCCTGGAAACTCGGTGTCCTGTAAAACAGTTTTAAAATCCATTATTTACTAAAAACCACAGTCCACAGGATATATAAGCAATTTTTGGTACAAATTAAAGACTCCTGTTATAGATGATATTCTATACACTCACATTCTATTACAAAGTACCTTTTAACAGAAAAGAGCATTATTTTTTTGGAACCATAAAATGAAACTCTACAACTTTAATGAATTTTCCTTACTTAAATATTATATCAGTAAAAGAATTACTTAATATAGTATGATAAATGCAACTAAGTACTCTATTCCCAAGGAAGAGGGAAAAAATCATAAGTTGATGTTTCTCAAGAGGTATGTGAAACCGTTATTCTGTTAAAACCAATAAGGAACTGGTCAAAAAGAATGAAAAATGCATACTTTCCAATCACTTTTTCAGACAAGGATTATATAAACATCAAACCCTTCTAATTTCTTGAGCTAAAACAGTATTCTCTTTATACTCCAAAGAAAGCACGTCATCAAAAACTGGATGCCATTCGCATTCCTGTAGAATGTTATCAGGTTACTAATGTTGTCACTACTTATCATTTGAAAAATAAGTGACTGATAGCAATTTCTATTGAATAAGAAAATTTAATTCTGTGAGGATGTACACCTTTATTAAATAGAACATTATTTATGTACTTTCAAATATTCATATTTTAACCAATCAACTTTTCCCTCCCCATAGAAGTATATTTATTTGTATAAGAAATACTGAGAAAATGACAACATCAGTTTAGTATTAAAATTCAAATTAGGAAGCTAAGAACAAAATCTAAATACCAAGTCACTATAAACAGTAAAGACATTAAAACTTCTCTACTCAATCTGTCCTACTCAAAAACCACTTTATTGGAAGCATTGTGTTATGCTAGATGTTAGAAGAACAAAAGAATATTAAGATACTAACCCCTTGCTTCACAAAGCTAATTATCTAGAAAACAGTAGAGTAGCTATAACAGATGTACAGATGAGATGCTTAATAGCATTATGTTCATGGAACTCCACTGATAACTTTTTTTTAAAAATTAAAAACCAAACAACAAAAACTGCAGATCAACAATGTTTCACTGAGAGATCTTTTCTGTTTGTTTGAGAAAGACATCAGGTGTAGAGGGCCCTTGGGAATGCACATGGATGACCTTTTGTCAGCTGAGTCCCAGGTGACAGGCTTGGCCATCCGGGAAACAGCCTCCCAAAATGTAAGAGACTGTTATCAGTACCGATTTCTTATCTTTATCCTTGTGCTTAGAATGAAGAACGAATAGGACCTTGACTTGCTAAATCCCAGGAATAAGGCAATGAATACAAAACTCCTTTGACCTTAAACCCCCTTGGAAATCAATAAATGCGTTGTGTGGTCTGTGGTGGGGGTTGACTGTCCCTCCATCAGAGTGACAGCCTCCACCCGGCTCCCAGCTTCTGGATCTATTTCTGCCTCTTGTCTCTTTCTTTCTTTTATTTCCTAACCCCCAGCTCCTCCACTCAGGAACCTGACCTTCTCCCTTTCCGTGCGGGACGCGGAAAAAGGAGAAGAACCCACCGCAATCAGTTCCCTAGCTTATGGGAGCTGATCTGTTAGTTCTCAGTATTGCTAAGGGCTGACTTGGCACTTGTAGCTAATGTTCTTCTGTAGAATATACACCATTTCACACTTCAACATCAGACAAGGCCACTGTCATCATGACTAAACATGGATTAAAACGCAAACGCTGTCCAAAGCACGAAAGTGACCGAACACCGTTCTATCTCGGTGACTGACTGACTGTTGCTTCTTTATAGCCTGTGACTTACCTGAGTCTTCTTTCACTCCAGCTAAAACACGGTGCCCTGGCTGGGTGGCTCAGTGGGTTAATACTGACCCTACACACTAAGGTTGCAGGTTTGATCTCACCAGACTCCATAGAAACAACAAATGAATACATAAATAAATGGAATAACAAATCCTCACTCTCATTCCCTCTCCTTTCCTTTCTCTAAAAAGAAAAAGTTTATTAAGTTACCCCAGCTTCCCACCAAGCCTTGCTTCCTTAATCTCTACCTATAACTGCCTGACCACAAGTTTCCTCCAATGGAATGCATTTTCCCTCACTCCAAGTTGAAATAAACCCAACTTGTCTCATTAATTTTCTTTGCAAAATTAAATTAGTCCCTTAAAAAAAAAAAATCAACCCAAAGGGTTGAATTCAAGACTTTTAAAATCCTCTTCCCCCTTTATAAGAAGCATTTTAAGGACATTTGATCACAGGCATACCATAGCAACATAATTGTATTTTCTAATAACTTGACGAATTTTCTTCAACTCTTCATCCAGGTTGCAAGCCCAAACTTCACAAATTCTTTGGCTATGATCTACCGTTGCTGCTGGCATAGTGAGGGCACAAGGAGTCTAGCTGCCAAGCATCAAAATGTTATACTTGATTGAAGATCTGTTTCATAAAATACTTAATCCTTTATTTGTGTACCTGTCAAAATAAAAACAGGATTCCTGGTTCTAAGAGCTGTTATAAACAAATAATGTTTTCTGTGCATTTCCCACCAATTAAAGACTGCTCTGAATTCAACTCACTGAATAAAAATTGATAATCACTTTCAGACAAAAATGAAAATTGAAATACTGATACACATGTGAGAAGGAAGATCACATGTCACTAGGGCAGCAGTAATGTCTGCTTTTATTCCTACCGTAGTTAACAGAACATTCAAAATCGGATTTGATTTTTACAAAATCTTCATGATTGGCATGTATTCCAGCCAGATTGGAGGGGACAAAATTAAACCTACTTTAATAATAATAATAAAAGTTGTTTCTGAACAATAAGTAACAGACACAGAGCTTTGTCTGAAAGCCCATAACTGCAGGAGGGAAAAAAGAAAGGCACTTCAAATTGTTTCTTTCTAATTTCCTAAAAAGCAGAGCATTTCCCCCTGGTTACCAAACACACTTCATGTTTCTGGGCTGTATACACTGGTTTCATGGTACATGATAACAGACCACATTTTGGTTCTTGAACAGGAAAAGGCGCCTTTATTTTTCACAGTTTGAAAAAAAAAAAAATCACAACAAAGACTTTTCAAAGGAATTACGAACCACCCCCCCAACCCAAACTCTGCAGTCACAAGTGTAACCGAGTGCTTTAAGAACAGAAAACCAAAGACCTAGGTCCGAGGTTGGCCTGCGGCTCTGGAGCCACATGCGGCTCTTTGGGCCCTTGTGTGGCTCTTCCACCAAAATACCACGGCCTGGGCGAGTCTGTGTTGAAGAAGTGGCGTTAGAAGAAGTTTTAAGTTTAAAAAATGTGGCTCTCCAAAGAAATGCCCATCGTTGTACTGCTGATAGTGGGCTCTGTGGACTCGTGAGTTTGCCGACCACTGTGATCTAGGGGATCCGTGCTTGCTAAGCCCGCCCGCTCTGCCACACACACTGCGGGGAGACCCTGCAGCAGCCTTCACGGTGCTTTTCCCCAGTCCCTTCAGGCGGAGGGGAGCCACAGACCCCATTCCTAGGGCAGCATCTCGGAGCTGCAGGAGGCTCCCCCCAAGAAAGGCGGGGGCCGTGCAGAAGCATCCCGGCCACTGATCACTCTCTCCCCTGGCAGAGCCCCGGGCAGATAACCATTCACTGGAGCCAGATGGACTCCCGGGCGCTGCAGCGCGAAAGAGTACGAGGAGCTGGGGGGGGGGAGATCGAGGCCACCGCCCTCCACCCCCCAATTTCCATCCCCCCGCCGCGGAGCCGCAGGTACAAAGCCTCTGCGTCATCACTCGGCGCCAGCCCGCGGCCAAACCCCCGGCCTCCGGTGCTCTCCCCGCTCGGCCCGCCACCCCGCTCCTCCGTCCCCCCGCCAGCCCCGCTCCAGCGGGCGCCATCGCGCATCCTCCCCCGCGGGGCCCGCCGTCCCCACCCCCTTCCCGCTTCCCCCTCCCTTCCTCCCCCGCCGCCGGCTGCAAAGCCGCCAGATCTACTTGTGTCGCTGAGCTTGCGCTTCTCCTCCTCCTCCTCGCCATAGAGACAGCACCCGGCGGCGGTGGCGGCAGCGGCGGCGGCGGCGGATGCCCCATAGACGCCTCTCGCCCAGCGAAGGGGGAAGGGGAGCGGGAGCTGCACCGCCCCGAGCTGCGCCGTCGCGTCGCGTTGCGTTGCGTCGCGGACGTCCTGGCGGCGGCGCCGGCTGATGACGCGACACGCAGAGGGGGCGGGGCACGCAGGGCGGAAGTGGGGGCAGTGAAGGCTGGGCGGCGAGGAAGGCAGTCGGGCTGGTTTGGCGCCGGGCCTGGGAGGTAGGGGGGCGGGTCCCGGGGAGTTCCTTCCGTCCGGGAGCCGCGGGCAGAGCATGCCCCCGAGGACGCGGGGACCCCCCGGCGGGCCGGCCTAGAGGAGGCGCTCGGGGCCCGGGCGTCCGTCCGTCCGTCCGTGCTCCTGCTCCTCCGAGGTTGAAGCACCGCCGGCCTGAGCCGCTGGGAGAGGCAGGCCGGAGCGACCAGGGCCTCCCTCGGGCCCGGGGACCCGGGGAGGATGAGCTGGCTCTTCCCGCTGACCAAGAGCGCCTCCTCCTCCGCGGCGGGGTCCCCCGGCGGCCTCACCAGCCTCCAGCAGCAGAAGCAGCGGCTGATCGAGTCCCTGCGGAGCTCCCACTCCAGGTGACTGGGCGCTCCGGCTCGGACCCGGACCCGAGGAGAAGGGCGGGCGGGCGGGCGGGCTGGGACGAATCCCAATCACCGGGTCCCCAGGCCGACTCCGCGCCTGCTGCCTCTTGTTGATCCACCTCCCTTCGCCCAGGCGGTGTGCACGCTGGCGCTCCCTCTTGGACCCCAGTTCAGGATGTTTCCTCCGGACCCCCGCCCCCCCCCAACCTCCACCCCCCTTTGCCCCACCACCGCTCAGCTCTAATTCTGACTTGCTCATCTCTCCTGACACATGGCTGCTGACGGTAATCTGGCTCATGGGCTGTTTCCAATATCCCCCTCTGCCCTTTCCCCCTGGCCACCTGATAAAGTGTTAAAATATGTTTCATTTGGCCCAAAAGCTTTGTGAAGCGTCATGTCCAAGATTTCACAAATAGGGGGGGGGGAAGGGGTTATAGAGGATCTGTTGCAACCTCAGAGGGAAGGGAAGGCAAGGGAAGGGAAGGGAAGGGAAGCCTGAAGTTTTGATCGGAGTTCTCTGGGAGTGACACACTCAATCCTCTTAAGTCTCTAATTTAAGATTCACCCTGTTCCAGCTGCCTTGTCTCTGTACACGTCTCACGGTTACTCTAGTTCCCACACACACAGGCGTGGTCCTATTCACCATGATTGTGTGTTGTCTTCCTAGGAGTTTTTTCATTTTCAGCCGGGTTAGATTAGAACTGTTTAGGCAGTTCGAGTGGTTTCTGCCGTTTTTTTTACTGTCACCTGGTTTGCCTCTCCTTTTGTATTGCAAATATCAGTTTTCAAAAATTAGTACCACCTCCTCTTTATATTATTGTGTGAATTAGGCAAGTATATTTACTTAATAGTGTCACGGCATGTATTCAGCCCTAACCTTTTTAAAATAAACTTTTCACCCATTGTAAGGATATGGGTTTTAAGAGAATAAGATTGATAAGTCCTGTTGAACAAACGAGTAGAGGCAATTTTATTTGTAACTACTAACTTTCCCCAAGCAAGTAAGTGATGGTGTAGAATAATTTTAAATTAGATAGATTCTTAAAAATTTCACTCAATTTGGCTAAAATGAGGCCTATTGTTGATTGAACTTCAGCTGTTTCTTGGTTCTTTTGTCTCAATTGTTCTGCTTGTTCAGAACTTTCAAAAGGTAAACATTTGTGGTATTTAACTGGAAAGAGTAGCATGCTCTTTGATCTAGTGGTGGTTTTGTGTGTGTTTTTTTGGAAAATTAAGTTTACAGAGTCTTTTTCTAAATAGAGTTGTGGACTAACCTGTAAGAGCAACTCTTACAAGATATGCTTATGAAAATGACTCATTTTTAAAATTGAAACAAACAAAAGTTTGTCTCTTGTGTGACTCTGTACTAAATAGTACTACTATTGCCAAAATACTTTTATAGAACCATACCTTTGGAATTAATTGCGTTAAGCCTTTAATATATTCTGTTAAGTATTCTCATTGCTGACAAAATTTTATTCATTGAGGTTGGAGTTGAATTTTTCAAATATTCCAAAGTCCTTTGCTGCTAAGGCTGGTAAATATGGGAAGTGATTGATCTGAAATGTGTTTATTTTTTTTTGGCTTCCCAAATAAGGTGAGATTCTAAAGCAGTAATTATTAATCTAAGGAGTTCTGAAGTTGGTTTAAGAGGATCTGTAAATGCTTTGAACAAATGCAGAAAGGATCCATTTTATTTTTTGAGCCAGAGGTAATGGATGTATAATTGGTCATGTGACATTATCCACCTATTTTGTAATGTTATAAAAATTTAACTTTACGTACTCTTTATTTCTGTAAGTTCTTTTATAAAAATACTTGAAGGTTTCATTGTTGTTATTGTTGAAATATTACACATTTATAAACTAAACTTGGATAATTAGGAGACAAATACATTCTAGGAAAGGTATGATTCCAGAAAAAATGATATCCACCTATTTTTGTTAAATATGCCTTTTTAACTCATGACATACATTTTAAAGCTAACTAGTAAAAAATGGTTTTCAGTATACTACAACTTATACTTAGATTTTTGGGCAGAAGGACACTGATTGGTTATTCTGAAGGTGCACTGTACAAAAGTTGAAATGATTTGAATGATATTTTATTTTTTAAAGATTGAACATTTTATTTATTTATTTATTTACTTATTTACTTATTTATTTATTTTAATATATTTTATTGATTTTTTACAGAGAGGAAGGGGGAGAGATAGAGAGCTAGAAACGTAGTCGATGAGAGAAAAACATTGACCAGCTGCCTCTTGCAAACCCCCTACTGGGTATGTGCCCGCAAGCAATGTACACGCCCTTGACCAGAATCGAACCTGGGGCCTTTCCGTCTGCAGATTGATGCTCTACCACTGAGCTAAATAGGTTTCTGCTTGAATGATATTTTAATGAACGATATAAAACTTCCTAAATTGTGAATAGCAATATCCTGTTTGTGCTGCCCACCTCCCTCATTTTTCATATCTGTCCCTTCTCCAAATATAAGGTCAACAGCTTTTCCTGACAGTGAAAGTATATGATTTATTTTTTCTTCCCTCCAGATTCCTGTCTTCCCCCCTCACTCCTGCCCCCCAATTCTCTCATTTAATTTCCAATTCTTAATGTTCTTTTAACTCATAATTCAAACATTTCATTTTAGAAAAGATCATGTTGTTTATTCCCTTTCTCTATGAATGTAGACTCCTTTTTTTTTGTTGTTGTTAACCTTGAGAAATTTCTTCCTTATCTTCCTCATGTCTTGCCTAAAGGCTAGATGAATTTTATGTGTATTTCCTCATCTAAGTCTTACAAGGCAGGGCAAATAGGAAACTCATAGGTAACAACAAAAGAGTGTTTAACCAGAGCATTATAATATATTTGTCTGCCATGAAAATGGAAACAGTCATGTTGACTAGGCTCAAGTGACATATTCCACCTTCTGAATAACAGGTATCACCGTAATTCTGGACTTTCTGGATAGGAATGGACTCATTCTGTAATTTGTTCTACTTCCTAAAGAAGTTTGCTCTAAACCACACTGTTTTGTTTGCCACCCAAATCCACTTCCCCCAACTTCCAGAAAGAACACTTGTTGTTATTCGGTTATCTGCAGAGCCCCTACTTATTGGAGGCTGTGCTTTTTCAACCCCTGCAAGTGCTTAATGATTGTTTATGTCAATGACCATGACTTAGTAACAAAGCCTTAGTTCCTCCTGCTAGTTACTGTGAGAGCAGGACTCTGAGCCTACTCTTGGTCAGTGGGAGTTGGAGAAGTCAGCTGGGGAGCTGTTCCAAACATTTTCTCAATTATAAAGATGTCTGAAAGGAAATGTTTCGGATATTGTTGCGCTACCCGGACATGTGGAACTGCTGGGGTCAGGGAAGGAATACAGGCTGACTACAGGATGAAAGCTGGAATATCCGTGATAATGCTGTGATGCTGAACTAACCAGTTGGGGGAAACTTCCTGCCTCTAGACCTCTTGCTACATAAGATTAATAACCCCTTACTGTTTAATCCACCTTCAGCCTGGATTTTCAATTAGTTGTAGTTGAAATGTTCCAGGTGAGACCAACTAATCCCAAAATTTAGAGAGTCCTCAGAAGTGAAGCTGTTAAGTATTTCCATGCAGTGTCCCTGCAATCAGACAATATTGAAAACTGATAGCCTTAGCAGTTACCATCCTAATTAGCCTGGTTTCTCTCAATATTTAAGTCAGCTTGCTTTATTTCCTTAGTTCTGAAAGCACAACAGTGTTGTAAATGGTAACTATTATCTGCAATTAACTATGTAAATTCAAAGTTATAAAATAGTAATCCTTCGTTACTTTTTGCTTAGGGAGATCAGCTGTCTAAAGTAAAGGATTTCTGCATCATTTTAATAAAGTAGACGGTCTTCAGTGAGAAAATCTAATTTGGGAATTATGTTTATCAGAATTGCTATCTCTTTTACTCTGGGATGACTAATAACCTTAATGAAAGAAGCTCTGTACCAGAAGTCAGGAGATCCTGACGTGTCATTAACTGGCAGTGCAACCTTGGGTGTTCACATAACCTTAATAGTCCTAGGCTGCGGGAGTGAGAGGACCGACTACCTACCTAAATTCTTAACTGCCTACTGGGAAGTCTGCAGTTTCCTAGGGTTACTGATGTGAACATTATGTTAGAGATAAAAGACAAAATGAATTTGAGCAACATAAATGAAGTAAGCAGAAATTACTGACCTTAGTAAAAGCAGCTTGACTTTAGGTGAATGAAAGCTTTGTAATCAAACAATCATGGATTCCAATTCTGGCTCTAACATATTGTTAGTATAACTATATACTATATACTAACAATAAGACCTATTTGCAAGTTACTCAATTTCTCTGAGCTTCCATCTGTAAAATTAGGAATTGTGATTCCTTTTGTGCAGGATTGTTGGTATTTAATATTTATAATCATTCATTGTTGTCTCTGGCTCACAGTAAGCATATGAAAAATTGCTTCCCCTTTTCCACTGCATGTAATTAATGTGCCTGGAGCTATTTATTGCTCTTAACCTACATGCTTATTGCCTCTTAGCCCTAGCTTACTGTTTATGAATCCCTCGCCAGCCTACCTAAAGCTCGTCTACCTCTGGCAGGACTACTGACTTCCCATTCAGAAAGTAAGTCCCTTCCAGAGAGTTTCTACACAAAAGCAATGCATGTATGTTGAAAGGTTTTAGATATAGTAAAGAAACTAGAATATTCTAGCACATGTAAAGAAACTAATATTCTTTGGCACACAGTGGGTATTTTGTAAATGGCAGTTATTTTTTTTTAAAAAATACTAGAACCAATCTTCATATTCTTAAGCTATTTGAAATTTCCTATTGTTGCCAGCCCCTGAGTACCATTGCCAACATTTATAATTTGAAAATTTTTTTTTCATTAAAATTTTCAAATTTCCAATAAAAAAATAGACTTTATTAATATAAGCAATTTTAGGTTCACCACAAAACTGAGCAGCAGGTTCAGAGATT